TACAAATCCTTGAAATATCTTGATAACTTGCTGTTTTATGTCCGATGTGGATTATCAATAGCAGAATGTCTAGCATGGAGTAGTAACAGAAACTTGGATTAATGCCTCCCATGGAGTTAATTTATTTTACAGTTAAATATTTTTTTATTTATTGTCCTATGTAATATAACTTTAAAACAGGAGTAGTGAGGGACGCGGTTTGTGATAAGCTGGACAGAAATCGGATTTTTCATGTACTTAATTAAATAGAGAAGAATAACTTAAGGTAACTTTTTTACCATAAGCAACATTCTTAGGGCTCTGTAATAAACGAGAAAATAACGCTAGAGTGAAGCATGTTAGATACTTATTAAAAGAAATAATTACTAGGCGGGTGATTAGCAGATGCCTCCTAGCTGTCCCAAAGTCACGTGACTTGCGCGCAAGAGATGTTGATACCCGGCCGGGCCTTCTGCGCATTCTAGTATATCTCTACTCTATGGTCGACGCGCGGTAAAAATCTCAATTTGAGCGAATTGGTGGAAGGTTTATTTCCAAAGCGGAATTTGAGAGATAACGAAATAATTTCCCCGATATCACGCGAACTGTGACGTAATTAAAAGTTTTCAAATATTTTTTCAATGTTTGTTTCTCTCTACTTTTTAATTCTTGAATTACCTGAGCCAATGGTTGGACAAACCTGAGATTATCAAATTGCTTAACAACAATATTAACTGTTTGGTTCTCTCCAACACTGTATAAAGCTTTATATTTAATTTGACAGAAATCGTAATCATTGATTCCAACTGCTCCTTATTATCCTTCTTATCACAATTTTTTTCTGTTATTCCCATATTTCATTTTTTTATATAATTAAACTGCATGCCCAATTTTTAATTTTTTAATATTTTTGATTGAAGTTTTAAAACTATTTTTGCAATTACAATCTGCCATATTATTTCCAGCGGTGCGGTTATATAATTCATAGAAACTATTTGCTCGCTTTCAGTATAATTTTATATAATGTTATGATATTGACTTAAATGCAGATTATTGTGTAAAGTACATATCAAGCTACAGCTGATAAAATAAAATTACTGCATCAGATAATTCTGAGAGTTGTATTATTGAGGCCTTCAATAATAAAATTATAACATTGTTAGAGATAAAATCTAAAGATTTCCTAATGGCAGAGTCTTTTGTAATCATTTGTCTTGATGTTGCAGTCAGAATGAAAAGAGATTTAATTTTTTTGAAAATAAGACATGAGAACCATTCAAAATGCATTACTATTCAGGAAATTAAAACAATTCGATAAAATATAGTGCTGAAGAGAAAAGGAGTTTCTATTAAAATACTAAAACTACCAAAGGCAGAACATGTGATTCCTCTTACAATTTCAATAAAATGTGATTCTTATTTATAAATGTAGTTATTAAATTTGCCCATGGGCGGATTTAGATACTGTAGGCTTTCAAACCCAAAACTGTACTGGGCACTCCTTCAGAAAAATCTTTAAAACCAAAAATCGAATTATGAATAAATCTAAAAAATACTAATTAAGACAGAATATATCATTGTTTCAGTACAGATGGAAATTAACAAATTGCTTTTAAATATCTCATTTACAAATACATGTTTGGTTTCTTATTGTTCCTTTCAATTTATTTTTAAAATCAAACTTTGTTGTTCAGTAAATTATTTCATTAATGATTATTCAGATAAAAACAAGTTTTTAATATTTATTTTAAAAAATCCGGGCATGAGGATGGGAGTTCCAAGCCTAATTTCGCTAGGAGGAAATCCAGCTCTGCATTCACTTATGCCTTGAATGGTTGATATTAACCCCAGCAAAACAGTATTTTATCATTGCAACACATTTGAAGCCACTAAAAAGTATATTTCATCCTGAATTGAATGCCCATAGCTCTACATATTGAAGTGCTGATCTACGCTAAAGATTGTTGCTTTGCGTCCTGTGTAAGCAACTGTGGTGCAAAAGACAATGACAATCCACTGTGTATCTCCATAATAAAAAAGAGAATATGAATAACTTTCGAATAATTAAATAAATAATCATTGTTCAGGAGGAAAACACTGACATGCGGCAAAATATAAAATAATATTACTGTACTGAATGTTAGAACAATTCTATAAACTCTCAAGATCACCCATTTTCTCATAGGGAGAAGTACCAAAATGAGTCATTGGGAATATTAATTGAATTAAGATTTTCGTTCAGATCGCACTCGATTGTATCCATCAAATTCCAGCTTTTTTGAATACGCGATTAGTATCAAACGCAATGTTCTCCAGGAGGGAGGATATTTTAATTGCTCTCAGAAGATCCAGAGGAATGTACGAACTCATCTTGAATGAAGCGCGTTGCGCACGCGGTGTTGCCGAGATGCGCGTCAGAGTCCCGAACCTCTAGAAAGCGCGCGAACGTCTCCCTCTGGCCTGATTTAGGCTTCTAATTTTGCAAAATTCTCTCGTTTCAAACGGTAGATTTCCTTCAAATTGCGCATATTGACTCTGAGATGTTAGCTACCAAAAGAAGAGTTTTTAAAAACATGTTCAACAGTTAATTTTCTCATAATTTTAAAATTTCAGGTGAAATCTGCCAGGTCACCATAAGAGCCCCATGTTAAAACAGCAAACTTTACGGTCTCGTTACACGAAAACTAGACGGTAACATCCATTTAAACTCTATCAGAACATGGAAGAACCTCTCATCTTTCCATTAATGCAATAAAAAAGACATGTTAAACACTTATCTCGCTCTAACCACCATGTTGTATTTTTTTCGAAATTATGTTTAAAATTTTAAATTACATTTTATATTGCTGTTATGTGTATTTTTTTATTTGACTGCTCAGCTTTTATTAATTCTTTGTGTTTAAAGAATATTTTGTAAATTTCAGTACAACGGTGAGGAATATAAAAATAACATGTAAATGCGAGCTAAGAAAAATGTGATAATAGTTTTGTATACTTTTATAAAATATCTTCTGAAGCAATTGAGTATGATTATTAATTGTTTTCGGAGAAACGATTTTAATGGATGATCGATCTTTGTCTCATTTTAATTTATGAAAAAAGACAAAACGCAATTCTTTTATCCTTATTCTCTTAGACTGTACTGCTTTAGGTTGCATACCATTTTATCGAAAAGCATGTGAATTAAAAAAATGTCCACCATTTTGTGGAGTGAGAATAAATTAGTGAACATGTGGAAACAGCGGGTTCTCCGCTCAAGCAGTGAACACCTGGCAACCCTAATAATTACGGTTGTCGAATCGACAAACAATTTTCTTTCTTCAGATTTCCCAGAGATCAAGAGAGGCGAGTTTCAGAATTTGATCTTTTTATGGATACATGCAAGAGTTAACGTGTTATAAGCGGTAAACATCGACCGTTTACTATACCATGAAAGAAGTGGTAAATCGGAAGTTGACGGTGGCACGGTTCTTTTGACGAGAAAAATTTGTTTATCAGTAAGGAGCCGTTTCCCTACAACGTGAACGATAAGTTCGTGAACTGGGCTGCATTTGTGTTCGTATTGTTCCACGAGCTAGAATATACTACATAGAGTGGCTGCAGCGCCTTCATCTTTGAAGCAAATTGAAGCCTTTTTTTGCAGTCAAAGTAGCGCCCTCTGGGAAACAAAGTATTATATACTGTGATTTATGCAACTCTGCCCCTGGTAGGTCTCAGTTGTTCACGGTTTCATCCAATCGGAAGCTTGAACTTCATAATAGTGACGTCACTTCACTTCTGACGTTAAAGCTTTCGATTAGATGGAACCATCAACAGCTGATATCTGCCAGGGCAGAGATGCGAAAATTGCAGTATAGCATTACGTTTCGCGCTGGTTACAGACGGTTTCAACGCCACTCTTATGTTTTGGCTTTAAAAAAACATGGCGGTCACTAGTTCTGCGAGCCTTCACCAAGAGCGCTGAAATTATAGGGACAGCCACTCTCTCTAGTATATTCTGACTCGTTGGTATTGTACATCGTAGAAATTAATTTAATAGCCAATTCATTTTGACTCCAAGTGGTCCGCGACGGATCCCACGTGCTGCGTTCGCGAGAGCCTCTCGGCCCTCTCCATCTGATTCACGCCCTTCTGCTGTCCCTCCGGCCAGCGCCTTCGTGAGAACCTCGTTCTCATGAAGGCGCCGCTCCGGCGCTGGCGCTGTTATACAGTCTGCCGAAGAACAGAAGAAGTGCTCTCAGCCATGGGTTGCGAGTTAAACTAATTAACTCGCAACCCATGGCTGAGAGCACTTCTTCTTGTTTTGACAATTTGTCAACCGCGTATTGTTGCCACCATTCAAAACAGCCGTGCAGCAGAGGCGACTGTCACTTCATAAGCTGCAGTAACTTTCCTGTTTCTAAAATAAATTTGGTTCACGGGAGCCCATGAACACCACGAGTGTAATATTACCCAGAGCCAGAGTGTCTCCTTGTAGTGGCTTTTTTATATAATGAAATTTGACTTTATTTTGTTGATATTTTATATCGAAAGTAAATATGATGCGGTTGTTGAATGTGTATTTTATAAAGAATGTAAATTGCTATGTATAATGTTTGGAAGTTTTTAAATATTAATATATTTTGTTTTCCTTTGTATTAATCCAGGCCCGTTGAAATTGAATCTGGAATATATAAATGCAGATAACACAAATAATTAGATTTTTGGCATTTGCTGTTTACGTATTTGTAACAGTTAACGCCTTATTTTCTGGAAGTTTGTTTTTTCCATTAACTTTGGCTACTAGTACATCCCATTATTAAAGATTGTTAATTATTAATAAACAAACCAATTGGTTAAATTCAATTTCTAACAAAAATATTCTGCATTAGCTGTATTTTCATTTAAATGCTGCTCCTTTTAGTAATTCGAATTTTGGCGGGTTTTGCAGCGGACCCGCCATTAAAGTGCTACCATCGCGCGACAGTAAAGCTCTCTACAGGTATTCGTGAGAACGTAGAAGCGTGCATCTTGATTTTCAGGCTGCGTCGGCTCTTTCTTTTCCCTCGCGCCGCGTTGGGCGATGGTCGTGAAATTTGTGCCTGGTGATGTACAGTGTGTTAGTCGTTTTCCTACGGTGGAGGGAAAACGGATTGTTCCAGATTTGAGGAATGCGGTGGTTGGTAAGAGGGGTTTATTCATGCAATTCTTTGTGGATGGTTTGCTTGTTATATGGGGAAATTTTGGCACTGTGATGATTATAACTTTCGTGAACGCACTGAGGTTGAACTCCCACGTGGTTGAATTCCCTCTTCGTGTTGTGAGTCTCCAATGCACTTTGATCTCTGAGTGCCGAAATTTTACTTCTTAGTACACTTTCTTAGTTCTGATCAATTTTTAACGTTTCTCTTACATTAATTTATAAATTTACAGAATTTTGAAATGGAGAAAGAAAACGTTAGTGATCACGTGGAACTTCATTGGCTTCATAGGTAAGCATTTGGTTTGGGCCCTTTTATCTTTTTTTTTTTTATTTCCACAATGATGTCTGTATTTATCCGTGTTTCAATTGATATATCAATGATAGCTACTTTTTATTCTGATTGCTACCAAATAAGTGTAAGATGAGAATGTGATGCTGTTTTGAACTCAAAAAAACTTGTTTTGTTCAGGTGGAAAACGTGTCTTCAAAATGTATTGCTGTTGGAAGCTGAAAAACCTTGTAAGACGGGAATGGATGAGTTTCTATGAAACCTAAGATTCATATGTAATGAAGCAATTTGTGCACAAATTAAAGCTGAGCAGTCGGATAAATCTGATCTGAATATGTGAACGAAATGTAAAAGTTTCCAATGTTTTTGTGGAATTTGCTGCCTTTTGAGGTATGTTTTCAGTTTGAAACTTGCTGTTTCTTTAACTCCTAAAATGATGTTCTTTTGTCCGTGTTTCAACTGATAATTCAGTGATAGTTACCATTCATTCTGATTGCTACCAACTTGAATAAGATGGCAAAGTGATGTTATTTTGGTTTCTGAAGGTTTTTGCTTTTTTTTCAGGTGGGAGGTCCTATGTGTAGGCAAAATACTGTCTCCCCATCTATGGGCCACCCTTATAAACTGTTTGAGATATTGAAATGGTTTTTGGTCAGCAATGCAGAATCTTGGAACATGTAATGTGCTGTGGGGATATGGTTTGAAATATTTTTAGTTTTAGAGGAATTTAACCCTTTAGCATACCAAGCGGATTGCATATGTACCACAATTTAACATTTTTGTTGTTTACAATTTGCTTATTTTGTAATATTGAAATTTCGTTAAATTGAAATACTTCTGCACAGAAATAGTTACTTAATTCTATTCAATTTTTTCATTATATGCCTGCTCAAAATAATCTAAATGTTCATATTTATTTAATATTTCAAAGAAATCTTGCATAACATTAAAGTAAGGTTCAAGTTTACCCTGCTCAATGTGCGGAGAGTTAATCAGCTTGAATTTTTGTTTGGGGAATTATATATATTTCTTGCTAGAAATAGATTCATTATAAAGAGGATTATAATACTGCTTCACATGTTAATATTTCAGAAATTTGAGTGACATGACTTTCTGACTTGTGATTTTAAAAGAAAGGGATAATATTTTCTGTAGCAGCCTTTGAAACTGTCTCCTTGGGGAAGGAGGCATATTCAGTTTTATTTGATGCTTAATTAAAACCATTGCTAGGAGAGGCCACAAAATCTGTCTTTGCTACAGTTGCTAGGGCTGCAACAGGATCTATCTATTTAATTTAAATTGCATATCAGTCTAATTTTACTCATATTTCTATTTAGATATTGATATACCGTTGTTAAAGCTCAAAACTAAAAATTGTTCAAACAATTCCTAGTCTAATTCTTTACCCACGATTCAGCATTATTGAACTGCATGAAGATATAAACTGTTCAGAATTTGAGGTTGGCCCATAGTTGGTAGGACTCTGCATTGCCCTTGGAACTAGAGGAAAGGGTAAGGTTGGAAAAGATGTCTACAAAACGAATGATTTACATCCACTGAAGCAGTTTGTCTTAAAATTGTGTATTTGTGAGAGATCTAGACGTGAATGAAATGCACAAGTTTGAGTTCTTGTGGGATTTGCATCCTTGAGGTATGTTTGGATAGAGAACTGCTGTTTTTTTAACTCCAAAATGATGTTCATTTATATCCGTGTTTCAGCTGATAATTCAGTGATAGTTACATTTAATTCTGATTGCTACCAACTTCAATAAGATGGCAAAGTGATGCTATATTGGTTTCTCAAAGCTTTCATTTTGTTTAGGTGGAAGTTGTATGCCAACAAAATTTAGTGCCCTTGGATTCTGAGTAAATGTTTAGAAGACTGGAATGGAGTGTTCATAAAAAGCATCAATGAAATTTATGTGCAGTGAAGCAGTTGTGCACAAATTACTGGCTAGACTTAAATTAATTGTTCCAAAGAGTGAATAAATCATAACAAAGTTTGATTGAGATGAGATAAATGGGAGCTGTGGAATTTACTGCTTTCTAGGTAAATATTAGTTTTTCAATTCTAAAGTGTTCATAAGATATGTAGCAGTGTTATATGTATGATGTGCTTGTAATAGTATATCGAAAGTTTGCACACGTTTATTACAAAAATATTACAAATTTTTATACCCACTTATGATGGTGCAAATGAGTTACGCAAAATAATGTAACTTAGTTCTTTCAGAATTAAAGTAAAGAAGCATTTAAGTCTGAGAAAAATGAAAAGCAATTTGGTAGGAGTTCAGGAAATTAAATTATGAAATTGTTAAACTTTTATTAAAATATTAGATTTACTGTGATTCATAATTACTCCTGGATGTGTGTTGTTTCCTCTAAGCTGAAATATTCCTTTCCTGACTGACCTCAGTATGTTGTATTTAGGTACTAAAGTAATGTATTTCTTTCAGGAATAAAGTACAGAAGCATTTCATTTTGCGAGAGCTGGTGGAGCTGTTAGAGGGTTTGGGCCATGTAAGTATGGAAAAAATATCTTGTTGAAAATTATATTTTAGATTTACTGTGATGAATTATTACTTTTGGTCCGTGTTGCTGACATTTCAGTGCTGTTACATTCTAACTGAAACCTTCTGTCTTACCTTACTGATGTTAGAATATTGTGCTTAAGGAACTAAAGTAATGCATTTCTTTCAGGATTAAAGTAAAGCAGCATTTTATTCTGTGAGAAAGATGATTGAATGAATTCCGGCAATTGTACCTATAAAGATGTTCTTGTTGAAAATTTTTAGTCGCTGTGTTGCACAAGTATGTTAATGATTTATTATGTAATTGTGCTGCATGTGTGAATATTAGAACCTACTTGGCATGAATGATTAATTGAAATAGGATCTTCAGTTCTAATTATGTTAAATCAAGATGTTTACTGAATGCTTCCATGTAACCTGAACTGCAAAATATTGTAATAAATGGGTTTTCTATGTAATTTCTTGTTTCAATTTATACAATAAAGTATATATAAGAAGTCATTCTTATTACTAGAATCTCCCTGTAACTCATTTGTAGAGTCTACCAAAGGAAGCCAGCTATGAATGAACTACCAAATTAAGTATTGGAAGATTTATCTAGAAAGCTGGCTGTGACTGCAGGAGCTCTCAAAATTGAACCTTTAATGATAACATAATTCTCATGGATATTTCTGGAAATTATCTCATTTTGGTATTTGAGGTTTTCTAACAGAACTGGTGTAAATTGAACACAGAAAATTGCTTTATTTGGTTTAACATTGTGATTCCTACAAATCAACATGCCCCACCTCAACCCAGAAAACGTACACCATCTCAAGCACGCTTTGAAACGTACCTGTTTAAATAAATTCTTGGGTACAAAGTTGTGATAAACAGTTGTTGGTGAGATTTGCAGAGATCTTTGGATTCAGAATGGACCAGAGAAATAGAAAGACAATGGAAGATCCCTAGACATAGTGAATTTAATGATAATTTGTGAAATCTGCCTTAACCCATAAATTAACTATTATTAAAATCTTAGAATTACATTTTCTTAATAAAAACTTAAAGTTAACTATACAATATTTGTCCTTCCTTAGCATAATCCTGCCCTATTTGGAGTGGTTCTGCAAAATGTTTGCTAGAGATGTTATTTACTTAAAAATTAACTATACTATTGTCAATGTTTTATTACTTTGGAATGTACAGCTATCTCCTGATTCAATTTACATTAATGCAAACTTGATGTTATAGTATGTTCAGAGGTTGCTTCTGTAAGTTTTCCCTCTTAAGATATGCTTGTTATTCTACTTTCTTCAATCCTTTGAAAGAACATTATGGAACAAGGATAAATAAATTATAAAGTTTTGGGATGGCAATACGAATTTCTGATTCAAGGTATGGTAGACCAAATCACGTGCGGTTGCGGATTAAAATTGCTTGACATCCAATACTCAATGAATGAAATAAAAGAAATAGCATCAAGAATCCTCATTAAAATAACTCCATGGGTGGTTATAGTATGGACAATAGGGAGAACTGTATCCTCAGAAAATGTCCGCAAGGCAATACGAGACGCAGGTTACAACGGGAGTAGCGAAGAAGCAGCCTTGGTACATTTGCAGGCCAAATCTGTACAAGGCATTGCAGAAACCACCCGTCGGCGTACTGGCAAACTTATTTTCAGTAAATTATGGTGAAATGAAAGTAAATTCAATATATTTGGATCAGATGGGCAACCACGTGTGGAGGAAGGTAAACGCAGCCTTGCAATATAAACATTTACGTGCAACTAAGCACGGCAGAGTATCCATAATGGTATATCTGCGGTGGTTCTTCCGCCTCCAACTTGTCCGAACAATATTTCTGTCTGCTTGACAGCTTGTGGTTGACGAAAGATGGGGTTCCGTTATCCAATTATAGGCTTCTAATGAAGTCACTGCAGAAATCCCGAGGCTTAAAACCAGTGCTAAAACAGCACGTACTTCTCACCTTTAGTAATTATTAATTTTTTAAACTTATGTAATACTATTTTTAAATAAATTATGAAAATGAATGTTTAATCATTTTTAGCTATTCCTTCTCGATTACATAAAGCTCCTGAGATGTTTTTTAAAAAAATCCGTTTTTTACTCAGTTTTGTTCGATAGAATGAAAGACATTTATGCAAATGGCACAGGTCTCTTTTTCGTTGCAAAAGTTCTAAACCTTTCCTATCCAGCAAAATGCATATGGCCGGCTTGCCTGTTTCCGTTACGATGCTCTAAAACACGCGCGAAAATTGCCTTCGGACTGACTTGTTATTTTGCAGAGTTTTTACGTTCACAATTTTTCAACATTTAATAGTTTATTCCAAGAAGTACATTATACTCAAAATACTGTAAATATATAACTTGTATTATATTTTTATTGCAACAGTATATTATCAATTACAGTAAATTAGTAATCGACAGTCATACAAATTTCTGAAAACTATTGTAATGTATTATAACCATATAAACATTTTCAAATATGAAATATCAATATGTCTAACACAAATGAAATTTCCTTTTAAAACGACTTTTAAACAAATCATCAAACAAAAAAGCCCAGTTGGCGAATGTATAAAACCTCCAAAGCAAATTAGTCATTGTTGGCGTGGATGAGTGTCATTGTATTTTAAAATACAAGTATTTAAATACTATCCAACCCTGCTCATTACAAATCATACAATATTCTATGCAAAAACTAAAATTTCAAGCAAATATCAACACAACTTTGGCAACTATAACTGTTTTTCATATCGGTAAATCAAGTCTCAACAGTTAGACGTAATTCACAAAAATAAGCTATCGAGTCATTGAAGAATTCCAACCTGCCATTCCCTGAAAGCTAGCAGTATTTCAGATAGGTTTTAAATAATTTCTAAAAGATTAATGTGTAAATGTAGAAGAAAAGGTCGAATGTAAGAAACGCAAAGAAATATAAAATATACAAATTCTAACTTACGGAGCATCCAAATGTCGGGAATTACGTCCACCGAGCGCAGTAAATTCGGACCGGTCATTATATTTGTCTCCAAATTAAACAAAAAATACTCATATATTTCAACAATTCAACATGTTTAAAGATGTTTCTTATTATCACATTTAATTAAGAAAAAATTGTATCTTCACAACTATAGTAAGAGGCCGAAATATTTTAAATTTTCGCAAAATCAGGTATTTTTACGAACATGAGATCTGCACAATTCTTTTAAGAGTTATTCACGCTATCAAAGATTACAATTTAATAAAAATGAGCGGTTTTAAAGAAAATAAAAACTGCTTATGTTTGACCAAATTTTCGCAAAAAATACTCATGTTTTTGAAATTCGACATTGATCTTATTTGAAGATCTGTTTTTGATGAACACATTTCATTAATAAAAAGCATATTATATAATTGCATTTATAAGGAAAACGAATCAATTTCGATTTTTTTTTCATTTTCCGAAAAATTGAATGCTCCTGCCAACATGAGATGTGCGCCATTTTCGTTAACGTTTTTTAGACTACACATCAACAAAATTGAAACAAAATCGGTCGAGCCGTTTTTGAAAAAAAGTTGTTAAAACAAAATTAAAAATTGCCTATTCACACGAAAGTACGCGAAAAACTCAAATTTTCGAAAAATTGTACATAAAGCTATTTGAAAATCTATCTTTAAGAAACAAATTTTATTAAGGGAAGAATCTCTTTCATTAATAGTTTAGTTTTAGGAAATCCCCGAAAAAAATGATTTTTTCTTCAATTTTCGAAAAATCAGAGATTTTAACCAACAAGAGACCTACACCATTCTCAGGACCGGATTTACCTACAAGTAAAACAAACAGTTGCTTGGGAGCCCCGCGTTTCGGAAAAATACGTATACCATATTTTTTTGTCTGTGAAATCAAGTAATCTACTGTGTAACAAAATGTACAATTTGAAAACATTTTTAAAAAATATTTATTACATGTTAAATTAGTCTATTAACTATACTTTATTTCCTTTACTTACAACTAAATATGTAAATTTTTTATGCAAACCTCAAAATTTTTCATGCTCAAATTAACAGCTATGGGGGCCCTCAGGAAAAATTATCAGTTTTCATTTGTATCTGTACACAAAGTACTTGTACTATAATACATTTTTTATTTAATAAAGATGGAGCTATTTTTTCGGGGGAGGGGGGCAATTCAATTTTGTGCTTGGGGCCCCGTACTACTTAAATCCGGCCCTGACCATTCTCTTAAACGTCCCTCAAGCTATCCAACAACAAAATTTAATCAAAATCGATGGCGCCATTTTTTTAATGGGCTTCATGTTGAGTATCCCCCAAATTATAATATCGGTTTCAAATTTAAAAGGACGGGATATCAGTCAGATCGAACAGGGAATATCAATTTTGGAGAAATTCGACTGGGCGGTATAGCCACTAGCATTGTTTATAGACGACGATCAAGCGTTTTGTCGTCAGTCGGTATCAAGGACCCACGAAACGTGGATTCTGGCTGCACCACGTGTTAAAAGGCTTTTTCTTCTAAATTTAGCGACTGGATTTATACACTTTGGCGTTACCATGGCCCTGTAAGAAGAACCGTTGACACATGAAAATACATTAAAAACAGTTTACAGCGTCGGGGAAGCCACATACACGTAGTTACTATATAGTATTTGAATAATTGTGAGTATGCCTGTGTGCGGATCCGACACTCACGGTTTGATCACTTCCTATTGGCCAATCGAGATAGTATATGAGTTGTCATTTGACACGCCTCGGGCTGCTGATTGGGAACATTTGTTTTCAGATTCTAAGAAATTTCGAAAAATGTTGTTTGTTGTGGCAAACTTATTAAATTTGAAGAACTTCAAGTGAATCCGGAGAAAATCAAAATGTGTAATGCAACAAAATAAAAACACATTTAAATTATTACGTTCGACTTCTCACAGTTCCGATCTTATGCATACAAACACCGATTTTCAAATTAATGGGACCAACATTTAATTCTTATTAAACTCAACACCTTTTTCACATAAAAATTCAAAAAGTCGTCTTTTACTGTTTATATGTATTCACCCACAAAATGATTAATTGAGAATTGGAGAAGTAGAAGTTAATACAAATTAGTCTGAGTTTGTAGGGGGGAAATATGGAAATGGAAAGAAAATCTGGCGAGGAATTAAACGTAGTTGTAGATTTTAGGACAGAATATTCGAGAGTAATTGAAAATGACCTTTAGAGAATAACCCTGAATTACAACTTACGGGTGATATTTTATGTGCATTTTTGTGTATATTAGCAACACCGCGTAACAAATGGGAACTGCACTAAATTTTGACTTCGCCCCATCCATACCTGCCGTACACTAAAGTAAATGTAATAGTCTGTAATATTTTATTATAATGTACCATATTCATTAGAATTACAAGGTGTATGCGTATATTCGGATTAAATAAATTATTTCCATTACAAATTTCCTAGAGTTTTTAATATTTCGAATGCCGAAAAATAGGTGTTTCTTACGAAGGTACGA